AGCCCGCCCAATCCCAACTAAATTAGACGTACCATTGGTTTTGGCCCACAGCCACATCTGATTCCTCTTCGCAGAAAGCTGGCACATGCCGGATTTCCCACGCCTGCCCCACGATTTGTTTCACCCATGGGCTGGGGAATCTGAAAAGACCACTGCCAGCGTCCCCCTCTTAGAACCAAAAGCCGGCAACTCCGATGTGAGAGAGAAAGTGAGCAAATGCTGGTTGTTTCTGCCACTGATTCCATGTACATGCATAGCATCCAGGGGAACCACCAACCTCGGAAAAACTAAAAGGAGCAACATTAGCCCAGTGAGTCATCTACCATTTTTGCATGTAAGGGAAACCAGCCATTAAATCGCAAGCTATGATCATAAAACATGTTTTTTCAATCTGATCCGTGATCGTCATCACCATTGTCCTCCTCCTCATCATCGTCATCATCAAGGTGGTTCTGTGCTTGTGTAATGTGGCTGGTGACGCCGGGAATGCAAAACGAATAATAATAATCATCATCATCGTCATCATCATCATCATCATCATCATCATCATCATCATCATCATCATCATCGTCATCATCGTCATCATCATCATCACCATCATCATCACCATCATCATCATCATCATCATCGTCATCATCACGATCAGCATCGTCATCGCCGTTATCATGTTCTTGTGGTGACTTTTGTTTAGCTGTACCGGGCAAGCTCATTTCCGACGGTGCCCTTGTTTTCTTCTGTGCCCTGGCCGATGATGCTGGGGATGCGAAGCGCATCATCATCATCATCATCATCAGCATCATGATCATCATCAACCTGATGAATAATTAAGGGAAATAGAATAGAAAGGATTTTAGAGAAATGCTTTTGCTAACATCTTTACACATGGGAGTTCCGCCAGTGGACGAGTCTTGGAGGATTTCCTATCTCTTGACCGTAGGAAAGCATCAACCCTCGAAAGCTGGTGCTCAGGGAAGAGCCGTTCTACGCAAGCATCTCTTGACAAACTATTCTTCACCCATCTCCAGATTAAACCGAAATGACCAAACGAAGAAAAAGAGACGGTGGGTGAGGGACATGAAAGGACGGATCAGAATTCTGAGTTCTGTTCAGTGTCCGTTTTACTTTCTCCCTCAGGATCTTCTCTTAAAGAAAATGTCACACACCAAAAATCCCAGAATCCGAACCATTCATTCCCGAGAGATAGACCGCAAGGAAGACTTAGGGTTTGGCCGCGTCTTAAGGTAGTCCCTCCTTTACACCTCTCCGTCAGACTTCAGTCTGAAACCTTTAGGTTGGAAATTTTGGAGAAGACGAACGAGAGGCACTGGCGCGCCAAGGTTAAGCGAGTTCTACCTTCCTCCACCCATTCACTACATCATCTAGGAATTGGCTACCCTCCCACCAGCCAACATGGAAGTGCACAGACCCCTGCAGAAAGACTACTTTCCTCTTATAAACGGGTTCTTTGCACTTCCGTGTCAGTTGGTGGGAGGGTAGTGAAGGGATGCCTCCCTCTCCTTCCCTCATCCATCCTTTCACCTGCCAACAGCGGAGAGCGATGGATTCCAATGGATGCAGTGAGGGAGGATAGAGTCATAGAGTGGGATGGGAGAGCCTCGAATTCTGGTCTATTAACTTTCTCCTCTGGGGATTTCTTGGCCGAGTGAATGAAGGAATTCGGAATGGCGCACACCTGTTGCTCGGGAGTCAGAACTTGTTTGTCTACAAGCGCGCATGGTATTGTATTAAAGACTGAATTGAATTTATATATAAACATGTATATACATATGTATATTGTTGATTACACTCATATGTATATATTGTAGGTTATATATATATAGTAGATTGTGTATTGCCAAACTCATTGTGATTGCTTGTCAAGTTGAAGCGATTGGGGGCAGGGTTCAATTCGGGGCGGGGTGTCTGGGTCATGGGATTCCAAGCTCGTAAGCACCTGCATCTTGGTTATGCTTTAGCTTCTCTTTGGTTTTCCATTTGTTGCCTTTTGATTTCCCTTTGGTTTGCCCTTTGGTTTCCTCCTGGACTGGAATAATTTGTATGGAAATGCTACAATGAAGCAGGAACAGCAGGTGTTGGATGTGTGTGAGAGCATCAGTGGTCGGCGGATCCGGCTACGCCTTATGGGGTAGCATGTCGCCGCTAGGCCATTTGCCTGCCAGCTTTAGCTATGGGGCTGCACCCCTCTGCCGCCGACCCTCATCCCTTGGTCGTGATGCGTTGCCTAAATACGGAAACTCTGCATCACCAGCTCGGGCTTGCGGTTTTGCTTGCCTGTGGGAAACCCTCGCAAAACATTGCGTATATGCAGGGCTTAGGCCGTGTGGCTGACATCATCAGGGTCTGGGGTTGGGCCTGGGTGATGCTTCAGCGGGTAAATACCGTCAAAAAATGCTATGCTGCGCGCTTTGCTTCTGCTGTGGCCATCTCGGGCGCTGCGCGGTCCTTTTTTTCCCACTTGGTTTTTGGGCCTTGTGGAGCGCGCCTGGCCACAAAACGCTGCTATTTACAGTGCTTTGTTGCAGTTGCGTTTCCGGGCTGGCTTGCGAGCTGTTCTTTTTCGGCTGGTCGTTCTGGCGGCCCCATGTGATTTGACTCGGTTGGGGCCCTGCTGGGGCTCAGAAAGCTGGCGTCCCAGCATCATCTGGGACATGTTGATGGCGTTTCGCACACAATAAAATGACTTGAGTTGGTATAATTTCACCATAAAATGACATGCCATGGTATAAGCTCATATTTTGCATCGCAGACCACCGTGCCATCAAAGAGGCGTAGCCGGCTAGAGGCCGCAGGCCCAAAAGATAAGGAAGGAAGATTGCTGGATGCCTGTCAGAGACCAATTCTGGGATCAGGTACGGAGGTCAGTAGAAAACGCCTCCTAGACAGTGGATTGCCCTGAACAAAAAGTTGGCACTCGTTTTGTCTGGTATTTGCTTTTCAGGCGGGTTCCCTCCCAAAAAAGAAAGACACAGAGTACCAACAGGTCCAGGTCTGGTTCTTCCGGATGAATTTGACCAACTGGGGAATCCCGTGACGTCTTGGCGGTCTTTGCGTTTCGCCCGAACCCGCCGGCTCTTCTCCTAAAATCCAAGAACACCACCTAAATTGGATCGGCATAGTGACCGAATCTGCCGGATTCTTTCCGGCTCCTGCGTTTGTTCTGGGCAAATCAATGCACAAACCGGGAACATTCCACAAGTCGAACACCTTCATGGAACTGCTGATTGTTTACTCACTCCCAACAGGACCTGTTTACACTTGCTGAGTGGATTCAAACAACCAAACTCTTTGTGTGCCAATTAGATGATTCGCCGCTATGGTTTGCTTAAAGATTTGGGTCTGGGTGTCCAAAAGTTGGCATTCCCATGTTAGCCGTCAAAATTACTCTCAACAAATCTATTCAAGTCGTTCTTTGTGAGTACCCCTTCTCGGTTGCTTTCTGCTCCCCTGCTAAGAGTTTAACTTTTAGTGGCTTGATGGAAAACACATTGGTTGGCAAGAAGTTCAAGTCCTAACGTCCCTTGGCAAATGCACCTCTGCTTTATGAGCTTCAAGGTGTTAGTATGTTGCAGGGCTGTCGGGCAAGGACATTATCATTTCTGTGTGAGTCCACTATGGTGTTCCTTGCAAACTGCAACAAACGCGATACGTTCATTGCCACGTTTCACCCCATCTCATTCACGCAAAGGATGCTGCCGGCTTTTCGCGCACAAAGGGGGAAGCACACCAAGGGTGTGCCGAACATAGAATCAGTGCGAGCGAGCCATGGACAGAATCTCCGAGCAATGATACTGTGGATGGTCACGAAATCCGTTCCCACCACTTTGAAACCATGGAAACCATTGTTTGTCGGTATTTACAGGGGAATCGAATCATTCCAGGGATTCTTAGGTGGTGCAGGATTTCGTCCATCCACAGTATGTTCAGATGCTGTTTCCAATCCGGTTTGCCCTTGAGCAAGAGTCACTACTGTGTGCCCCAATGAGATTGGATTTGGGTGAGAAACCACCATTGCCTGGTAGATGACGATAAAGATTGACCCTTGCTCATGTGAACTGGGCATTAGCTTCTGATGACAAGGACACCTTTTCCCTCAGACACCGAAGGTGTTTACCTTGCAAGACTACCAGAAAATTGTGTTCAGCTCATTTCAGCCTCTTTTTTGAGACAGGTAGCCTTGGTCGATATAAGTTGCCTCCCCAACTTAGTGGGTACATATGACATCCACTATCCTTGTTGTGTTTTAAAGGGGGGACCCACCCATGCAATTTTGAGAGCCCTCGAAATGTCATAACTTTCAGGGACCCAGACTAAGCTGGTTTTTACCCCATCTCCCTTGCCACAGCGCTAAGCACTTAAATTCAGGGTAAGCACTTAAGTTCAGCCACTGATATCGATATTTGGCTTGCTCAGTAACCCCATAGCTCCTCCGCTGGGCTGGTCAAAATAGTGTATCCCAGAGGGAGCAATAACCTTATGAGGATGGCTTTTGGGGAAAAATGGTACTTGGACCGTCTGGGTACCGGAAAACCACTACAAAGGGGACCCCCTCCATAACCGCAACCCCAGGAAAGTCGCACAAATGTCACGCCCATGTCAGCCCCGTTATGACAGGAACAGGAGAGTGATGGCCGTTGCTTGTTTGGTGGACGTGTTTGGAGGAACTGACCTTTTGGAGGACGTGATGGCCGTTGCTTGGTTAGTTTGTTTGTTTCTCCTGACCTTTTGGAGGAACCCCTCCTTGAGACTCGCGTCCGCGGCTCGCGTCGGGATTTTAGACAATTTGAGCCAGGATGTGGCTTTTCACCCCCACTGCTTGAAATGAAGACATCGACTTGTTTCGTATACACGTGTTGCACAGCCTAAAAAACGATTGGGGCGAACACAACCAAGCATAGGTGTCCTTTTGCAAAAATAGATGGGTGTCCCTGGAAAATGGGGCATAAAACCCATCTAAGCCAGTGGAACCCTTCTATTTTTAACCACGCTAACCGATCAAAAGGACACCTATGCAACCAAGCACCCCCAACGCAGAAAGCCTCCTCACAGCGACGGGGTAGCCGAACCTGGCCTCAATTTGCCCAAAAAAAAAAAACAGGCCCCCCAGCCCCAGGAAGGAGGAGCCCTAGACTTGGTTGACGTTGGAAGGGGAGCAAAAAAAAAAGCAGTTAAGTGGGGATTTCCCACTAAACCACAATAAGCAAAAATGTAAAATGTTTCCCAACGACAACCATGTAGAACCTAGCAAATACACATATATTTCTATTTATGTATATATATATATCATATGGTGTCTTAAGGAAAGGAAAGCAACATATATTTTCTGGATAGACAAAAAAATCACGCCGACCGGCACCAAATAAGGAAGCCCGATGTGATTAGTTGATAAACCACTTGCCAGCTGCAGGAGTTCGTCCGTTGAAGCGGAATCTTGTCCGCTTCAAACAAATCTCAGATCCAAACCGGGGCCTTCTAAGCTCTACGCCAAGGCTTTACTTAGATTTAGGAGCTCAAGTTTCTGAAATACTCAGACCAAACAAAAACTGCAACTCTGCTGGTTTCTTTCTGGGAACTTCGCTCCCCTACCCCCCTCCCTAAACAGGAAAAAACCAGAGGAGCCTTTGTTGGTTTCGTCCAAGGCAGATTCACTCAGAAACAACGGTCACCCGGGGGTCACACACGGGGGTCACGTTGTCTTTACGTTCAGGGACCTTCACCCCCCTCCCCCCCCAAAACTGTGCACCAGAAACAACAGCGAGACAAAGGGAGGCCTCTTGGTTTGTTTTGCAGCCAGAAAAAGAGACCCCTGGGGCGCTGGTTTTGACACAAAGCAAAGCACGAGAGTGGTCAAAGCACTCACTTACCTAGGGTCTCCATGCCCCTTTAAAAATGGGGTCATTACCCTAAATAATGGGGTCATGGACCTATTTTTAAAGGGTCTTGGGACTCCAGGATAGATTGGGTATGTCGCTTATAGATTGGGTATGTCCATGTGGCTGTGGGCCAAAACCCTGTACCCCTGGTGAACATCAAACTAGGTGGTACATGGGTGTTCATCCGCCCCAAAATGGAGGCATAGGTTATGACCCGTGGCCATGTGAGTCAAGCTCATTCTGAAAAAAAAAACCGTCTCTTGGGAGTTTCGGGAAGCCAAGTCCCATGTCCTGCTGCTATGGCTGGTGACTGCGTCATGTGGAATCAATGCAACTCATGCGTTGTCTTTGCGGCCGGTCTAACATCCTTTGCGACTTCTGGGTATCTTTGCTGGCATGCAACTGGGGGTTTACACATCATCTTGTGGGCCAATGGTGTCTTAGTTTCTGCTTGGGGAAAGGTTGCACAGGGACGCGTAAGAAACCCAAGGGATGATACTCAGGGACACATATGTGCCATGAAACAGCCCCTGTGGGTCATGGCCATGATTCTCTGAGAAAGGATTCTCATGGTGGTTGTGTAAAACCGTAGGAAAGGGTTCGCCAGCCCTACGCGCAAATCAAGGCTTCAGGGTATTTGATCCTAGCACATACACAGCCTCCTTTGTGTTTGCTCAGCTTCCCTCTCATTTGTGGTTTGGAGTGGTGGTTTGGAGGTTGGGGGTGGTTTCCCATTTGCCCTCTGATTTTGTAAGAACCAGGAGTTCAAATCCAATTCCAAACCACCGATCCAACCACCAACTAAGGGTTACTGTATTTTATGGGTTTTAATGAGGGTCTGGGTTACCAAACCCCGGCACCGGTTGCATCCGGGCGTCATGATGGTTCGGCTGTCCGCTCTTGCGGCTCTCATTCGAGAGGGTTCTCTCACCTCGCAGAGAAGGTTGCTACTTTGGACGAAAACCATTTCGCACCACCTAAGAATCCCTGGTTTCTGATGATTATCCTGTAACCCCAACAAACAATGGGTTTTTCACGGTTTTATTTCGTGGTGCGAAATGGATATCGCAACCATCTACAGCCCCGGGCTGCGCAAAATACAAAGAGGAACGGAAGCTTCACTGACGTCGTAAACCCAGAGCGTCGCAATTCGTCCAACAAGGGCTTGAAGAAAATCCGCCAAGATCTGCCTGGTTCGCACAAACCTGCTGCAAACAGTGTGAAGTTGGAGAACAGGAATCTTTGGACATCGGTTTGGTGGGGAGAAACATGTCCACGGCCGCAAAAAGCGGCCGGTTGGGTTGCTGCATGGGAGAGTCCGATTTTTTACGAGTGGATGCTTTAGGGTTGTGATCTTCGAAACGCAGAGAAACGTGTGCCCATGGGGCATAATCTAGGGCTCCATTTTAAGGTGGATGAACATCCATTTGCCACCTATGTTGATGTTCACCAGGGGTACAGGGTTTTGACCCACAGCCATGTCAAGCACGTATTGCGTGGAACGTCCCTGAGACATGTGACGGCCATGCAGCCGCGAGCAAGCTGAATGCCGGATTAAAACATTCCTGGAACATTTTACGGTTTCCGGGTTGATTACATGCCCACTCCCATAGTGGACGAGGTGAAAAAGGCACTGTTTTGGTTGGTGGTCGATTTTTGAAGGCAAAGCCCTCCGAACCAAAAAACAGCAACCCACTGGGTTGCTGGGAGAAGTTCCTTGCTTCTGGGCTGATCTATTTACCTTTTCGTAGCACATAGAGACAACTTTTGCTTTATGTCGGTCTGCTTGGGTCCCAGTCTCAAAATTCAAACGCCAGACCTAAACACAAAATTGACGGTTTAAAGGCGTAGTTCTTCTTAGACAATTGTCTGATTTCATCCTTTGGTGCAAGTAGAAGATCAAGCGAAATTCAAGGGGAAACCGGGAAACCCAAACAAAAGCTGGTCAATGGTCAACCGAATAAACCTGGAATTGAAACATACTTTCAACCACCATCATTTTGGTCCAAGGAAAGAGGGAAAGTCTAAGATCCGCAAAGCGTCTTTGGGTTTGGATTCCCTTTGCCCCGATGGGGAGTTACAGGAAGTATCTTCTGAGTCTTTCACAGGCCAAACAATTACGACTGCAACAAGTTGACTCGCGGGTTGAAAGGGAAAATGACGGAACACCGAGGAGTTCTTTCAGTCAAAAGCTCAGTCCAGCGATGCTTGGTCCTATCAAAAGCTTGGAGGAGACCTATGGCAAAAAGCTGGCAAACGGCGCGTTCTTCACCGAATTGTTCAGCCATCCAAAAGGAAACTCACGGGAAAACGTGTTTCTCCCCACCTATGTCCACTAGAGGATCCCCAGTAACCATTAGCATCCATGCTTGAAACCATCCTTTTGGGTACGAAGTACAGGAATTACTGAGTGATCCATGCCTCTTCGTGAGATCTAATCTGCTTCACGTAGATTGCAGTGTTCCTGCTGAATTTGCTTCAGCCAACCCTAAACTCGTACCCTCAAAAAACGACTCATGTGGCATGAGTTTCAAGGGGCACTTCAAAGCCCAAAATGGTGTCTTCAGACCACAACTCACTCCTTCTGGTTGTCTCACAACCACCCCCCAAAAGGGGTTTCCTGAGCCGCACAAAACCAAAGACTAATAACTAAAAAGTGTTTTATTTTTCGCGAATGACTTGGTTGCCATGGCAACAAAAGCCACGTTTTTTGGGGGTAGCTAATGTTCAAGAGAAACCTAGCCAAACAAAAATGACTCGACAAAAGCAAGCCACTGGGTGCCTGGGATGCCTTGTTCCTTGTGGTATCCTTTTCATTCGCAAAAAACAAAAACGAACCCCAAAAGGGTACCGAGCCTCAACCAAAACACACACACACACACACAGACTGTTTCGGGGTAATTGCCCAAATTCTGAGACACACCGATAACAAAGTCGACTCGCTCGTTGGCTGATTTCCGGGTACCATGTTTGATTCCGTCTCCACACCAAAACGATAGGGGTCTGGAGATCGCCCGCGACAAGTTGAACTTTTAGTGGTTTAAATGGAAACTACCACTAAAAACTAAAAGGCGCAAAAGCCACGGAACCGGATGGCTGGGAGCCACCAAGGGGTGAGTAAATATGAAAGCATATCCTGAATAGTGGCATCCTCAACCACCAATCAACATGGAACCCACCGGAGGATCCCTTTAAAAGATACATGCTCTTCCAGGACCCCCCTCTCAGGTTCCATGTTCATTGAGAAGGTATCCCCCCCAGTAAGCTTGAAGCCCTCACAGTGTGACACCCCCTTTCTTCCATTTTCTTTTTCGCCCCCTGGAGGAAAAAACACATTCCCAGTAATGAAAATTGTTTGTCCCTTGAAAACCAACAGGGGAAATCAATGAAACAATGCGTCCCTTCAAAGCCAACAGGAGCAAATCAAAAAACCCAAAAAAAAACAAAAAACATCCAAGCACACAACACGGCCGCTTTCCCCCCCCCTTCCCCTTCCCCCTTCTTCCATCCGTGTCCAGCGGCGCAAAGTCATGGGTCTGCAGCAGCTTACGCCGCATGCGGTTCGTGGCACAGGCCACTTGCTGTGCGAAGTCCTCGTTGATAGACTTGGACTTCATCACCAAGCCCAGGATGCCCTCAGCACGGCTCGTGGCGACGGCGGCGGCTCAGGTTTGTCGCCATTTCTTTTTCAAACGGCCCACCAAAACTACGGCCCACAAGACGTCGGCGGCTCGGTTTTCTTTTCTTCGTCTTTTTTCTCGAGTTAACTGAAAAAGGTGTTGGGATTTGGGTGTGGGCCCACCAAAACGGCCCACAAGACGTCGGCGGCTCCGGTGTCGTTGATTGTTTTTTGTTCTCAACTCAACAAGGTTTTGGGATTCTTGGGTGTGGGTCAACAATGGGTACCCAAAATGGGTCGCCCTGGTAGATGGAACCAAGTTGTGTTCATCCTCGAAAAGGTTGGAACTTGTGGCTCAGCCGTGCCCATCGCAAAACGGGTCAGCATGGTTTTGTCCGCAAAAAGGCTTGGAATTTGTGGATAAGCCAAGCCAAGAAAAAAAAAAGAAAGAAAAAAATAGCTTTCGACTCAAAACGGGTTCTTGGTTGACGTTGGAAGGGGAGCACAAGTTTAAATTCTAGCAGTTAAGGATTTCAACCACTAAACCACAGCAAGCAAAAATGCAAAATGTTTCCGAACAACAACCATGGGTTTGGAGGTGTTCCGGGAGAAGAAAAAACAAGCCTTCGACTCAAACAAAAACGGCTTGGCGACTGGAGCCGACTGGGTGGAGCTGTTCCCGACATGTCCCAATGTCCCGCAAGGGGTTCCAAATCGCTTCAAATCCCAAAAAAAATCCAAAGATGCTCTTCCAGGATCCCCCCTCTCAGGTTCCATGTTCATTGAGAGGGCATCCCAGTCGTGAGAAGCTCTCACAGTGCGACACCTGTCGTATAGGAAGAAACAACGGCCGGCAAAAACCTGCGAAAAGGCTCACATGTCTTGGTTGACGTTGGAAGGGGAGCAAAAGTTTAAATTCTAGCAGTTAAGAAGTTAAGTGGTTGGAGTTCAACCACTAAACCACAGCAAGCAAAAATGGAAAAAACATGTGTCCCAACAACAACCACGATGTAGGGGATCCCCGACCCCAAAAAACACAAATAGGTGGATTGCAAGAACCCCCCCTTGATCTACAGAAAGAAACAGAAAACAAAAAACACATTCCCTGGGATTTTGGGGGATAACAAGTTGCTGGTGTACTTGCAATATAAAAGGGGCATCCACATAATTAATCATGGGACGAGGTCCCAAGATAAGTCTCTTGGTGCTGCAAGAAAATGAATGCCGCTCGTTCAAAGACAAAGCATCATTGTTTCTGTTTCCTTCCTTCCTGTTGGCCTGGACCCCAAAGTGATTGAGCCGAGTTTGAGAAAGCGAAGCGGGCAAAAAAGAACATGAGAGCGGAATTCACGGCCCCTCGTGGAAGAAAACCGGTTTTCGGGAGATTTTCTCTGGCCCCGGTCTACGAGTCTATCAAGTCGAAGCCTCTGACTTTGATCCCTGCAAACAGCCTCACTTCAAAGCAAAGGCCACAGCCTAGTTGAATTCCCGCAAGCTATTTGACCTTCTCGAAACAAAAAAGGCCTGCGGCTTTACTAGAAAATGTCATACTCACGCAGCTGGGAAGTGGCTAATTTCAGTAAACTTCCATCCAAACTAATAGCGTCCGCAGTATTCGCAGATGCTTGCTTTGTCAACCCTACTGTGGATGGACAAATCCTGCACCACACAATGAAGCCGGGGTTGCAACCAGAACGCTTGTTGGTATTTAGGGGGAGTCGAGTCATTCTGAACGGTGACCGGATTTCGCGCACACATCATGGAGAAATGGCTACTCCGACTCCGGCCAAGTCTTTTTTTTCTTCTGTTCTTTTCCGGACGGGACGGCCTGAAACGTCATCCTCTGTATCATGTAGTCCTGAAGAAGGCGACCGAGCGGACGCAAAACGAAGCGAAAGTTGGGTGCGCAGGTCTCGATGTCCCCAAGAATCAGACCCTTCATGTTCTTTAGCCTAGAATATTTTCACCACGCCTCATGCAAGCGGCTTCTTTACTTCCCAAACCTTGGTGTGGTGGCACAAAGACTTTGTTTTTTGCAGCCCTGCACAAATGAAGAGAAACAAAAGACCAAAACTGTAAACATGCAACAAAAGAGGAGTTTACCAATGACTAGAGTTAGGCCCAGTTAAGGAACGTATATGTTTTTTGTTTGCTTCACTTTGAGTGACTGGCAAAGTGTGAAATGTACCCTAAGTCTACCTGAGTACCTGGTGTCTCAAATTGAAACCCCAGTTAACCCAGGAACATGGTGGAACTTTCTGGACCTTCGAATCAAGTCGTTCAGGTCAGCCGGCTTTCTTTTTGGGAGGGATGGATTCCTTGTCCATTCTTTTCATACCATCGTTCTTTTCCACAACTGGCGGTTTCTCCTGGGTTCTTGTTGATTTCCTGAAAAGCAGGATCCCTGGAAATGGACATGGAAGGTAGCCCTAGAAGATCTCGCCCTTGTTCTAAGAACCCACAAAAGCTGTTCGCGCCTCTCAACCGGGCATAGGCGGTGTTACGCAGGTATGTTGAAACTGGCTCCCTCCTTTCAAGGTTCAGGGAGGACGCGACTTGACTTTTTGGGCCCTTCACTGGAAGTTCAGATGCCGGAAATTCGCTCGCTTGCCAACTCGAGTTGGACTTTGACGGCAGGTTGAAAGCAAACTGAATCTGTTGCTAGTGGGGGAACTTCGGCTTCCTGAGAAGTCCAAAGCTAAAATGCGGAAAAGATCACGTCCCATTCAACAGGCAAGTCTAGGGCATGCACAACTCAAACACGCCACGCACACATACCCTGCAAGGACCTGGCACACCAAAACCCTTTGCGAGGTACAAGCGTTCGTGCTAAGTCACAGCAACGCACGCGCGAAGTCACATCACTGCATGGCTGCGCGCACACGCGCGAAGTCACATCAGCGCTCGTGAAGTCACATCATTAACCATGAGTTGTATGGTAATCACACTGGCGACGCGCTTCCAGCGTACGCTGCGCTCTGCCGCGAAACTAGTTGTTTGCGTCCCACTAGGTAAAAGCCGCGTTCTCAGCTAAAGCCCAGCAAACAATTGATGACGTCTTGTGTGTTTCCCCATCGGCCACCCTCCCTGTCCTGCTAGTTCTTTGGGAAACAAGGTGCAAAAAGTCAAATGGTAAAGGACCAACGGACCAACCAGGCAGAATGATTCGATTCCCCAACGTAAATACCAACAAACCTTATGGTTTCAACCATGGTTTCCAAGTGGTGCGAAATGGATTTCGCAACCATCCACAGTATGTGTTAGTTTCCCTTGTTGGTTGTAAAGGGAATCTATCACTAGCATTTTGTTGGTGTCTCTGGCCCGCACAATGATTTAGAACAATGTCATTTAGGGGTTCCCTATTTCGCGAGCCAAGTGGTGCGTTGCATGGATTTCGCAACCATCAGTGTGGGACCGTGGGCAAAGAAGCATCCACATTCCCTCGCTCCATTAGCGTCGCGACTGCAGTTTGCCTTTGGATCCGATTGGACTCGTGCCAGGGTTTCATTTCCAGATCCCTGGGGTTTTGGGTTCCAACCGAACCATCCAGCCGATGGCTTCCTTTAAGGGAATCCCTCCGAGCACCAGCAAGATATAACCACTATTATTTACCGAAGGAGTTTCATCATCAAAACTGGGTCCACCATCAGTTGACAGGATTGAACCCTGGGGAAATCGTGGGCTCAGCTTCGCCCTTTTGCCCAGCCGAACTGTCAGCAGAATCCCGAGGCGTGTTGTTCCGTGTCCGAAACAGATCCGACCACACGCGTTCACCAGCTAGCTGGGGAACGCGAAGCGTTCATCTCCCAAAAGAGCGCAAGACATGGATGAAACAGGTGAGCTGAGTCCGGAAAGCCTCCGGCTGGTCGTGAACTCTTTCAGGGAAACGAAGCCAAAGGCCGGAAGGCGAAAAAAGCGAGGCGAGCTAAGTCTGGCGACGTTGGATTGTGCAGAAAGTGAGAGAAAGGAAGCCACAGCGATAGCGAGAGCGCAATACGGCCGAAGCTTTCGGCAGAGGGCATGGGCACAACGGCACAACCCCCCGTCATGCTTTAATGAGACAGACTGAAACGCTCACTGAAGTCAAGCTGTCTACCCTCCAAATGTTGCTTGTAGATCTCATCCTTCTGGCCTTGTGCCGCACAAGAAAATGTCCCCCGATCTTGCTGCGCTTGGCTCCCCACTTCAGGCAACCGATACATTATTCCAGAAAACATCGAATGTATGCTGCTCCGATGTGCTCATTGAGTAACTGAAAGGCCTTGACTAAACACGTGGGAAAACCTTGGCAGGCCAGATGTTAGGCTTCTTTCTCACCCTGACCCGACCCAAACCCGATTTCAGCCACTTCGGGGTTGCCCTCTCAGCAGCCTCTCACCCGTCCGTCCCGTCGTCCCGTTGGCCGAGGCGCAAACTTGGGCCAAGCCTTCTTGGGCACGGCCGGCTCCGGGTCCGGCAACTTCCCAGGGCCCAAGTTCGCCTGCGAAAGCCGGACCGTTCCGGGCCGCCGGCGGCCTTCGGAGCTTTGAAAACCGCAACACGCGTTTTGCCAGCCTTTTCAGAGGGTCCCTTGGTACGGAGGTACCAAGAATCCCCTTTTTTACCCCCCAAAAGCCATCCTCATGAGGTACCGAAAAAAACCCTCTGGGCTCCAGGGTTTCCATTCCAGCGTCGGATCCCAACAGCCAAAGAACGGTTGGTGGGTTGCTGGCAAGCTGGTTTAGAGTTACCATCGCCCCCCCCCCCCCAAAAAAAAAAAAAAGAAGAAAGAAGACGCAGTCGGTTCGGGAAAGGCGGGGAAAGGCAACAAATGAAAAATGGAATGACAACCATCCCGATTTGGTTTCTTTTCAATTTCCAACACCCTGGGACATGTTCTGCAGGGAATGAGTGAAATGGAATGACCCCAAGAAACACCATCCATTTCCCATGAAGGGAACTCCCAACACCTGTTCATGCTCAACACCCGGACTTGGTCATTCCCTACCTATCGCACCAGCAAGAAACTGGACCTTGAACTTTTTTGAGGGTACCCTTTGGTGGCTGTTGAGGGGTTTAAAACACCACCATTTGAAAGGAAAACAAAAAACTAGATTTCAACAATTAAATGAGAATGTCCCACTCAACCACAACAAGCGAAAATGTTTTTATGTCTCCCGACAACCATGATGCTATGTTAAGACAGACCCACATCGGCAAACAGCTGATCGAACCCACAGGAAGGGGAAGCAAGTTTCCATGAGGTCTTCCACCCATCCCTGAATTCCCATTCTAAGTATTCAGGCCCTTCTTGCCCCTGCCAAGAACCATATGTTTCCCGAAAAAAGGGGTGGTTCTTTCCGCAAAATCACCCCTCCACTACGTAAATAATCAGAATGGGGAACTAAGTGATAAGAAAACCATGCTTGTAATTATCTAGCCCCTGCCCCAAGCTTGAAAAACATTTGTGCAGCCGGCCGCCCTTTCAAGCCGAGTCTAAGAAGTATCGCACCACCGTAAGCGGAGGTGGGTCCTTCAAAGTTTCCCAAATTGATGGACCCTGGTTGGTACATTTTCATCGGGACCGAAAGGAAGACGGGTATTTTAGGGTACTGATCTCTTTGAGAAACACAGATCCTTGCATTATACACCTGAACATTGACTTGTAAATGGTGGATTCCCTTTATTTTGGTGGGAAAAGCCATGTTTCAAATGGGCAAAATGTATCTTTTAAGGAGCCCTGAAACACTTAGCATGTTTTCCTTCCTCCTCGAAATGGAACCAACAGATCTCTTGAAATGCCCTTCCCCGATTCCAGTTCTAGACAAGATCTTGTCATTACTCCGTTTGGGTCAAGTTTGGGCCGACCTCGAGAAAATTGGAGTTTCTCAACACTGGATTTGGGGTACACAAAAACAAAAACATGATTGCGTGCTCCAGGAAAGTTCATACTTTGCTTTGCATACACCTTCCCTGTTTTTCCTGCAAAGGGGGCTTCCCGAGTGGATGGTCCCAAAAAGTGCCAAATGTCCTGGACTCCACCCACCTCCCCCCACACCCCCCCACCCCACCCCCCGCCCCACCTGGTGCCGCAGCAGAGCGAAGAGCTCCGCAGCCTCTGTGAAGAAGCCCTCAGCACGCGCCTGGGCCTGGCGAAGCTCCGAAGCCGCGAAGCTCCGCGGTTTGCTCCGTGAGCGAAGCTCCGCGGCTTTTTCAACGGGATCCGTACATGAAACACACCTGGAACATTGCAACTTGTAAATCCGCCGACCCTTTCTCTAAAAAGGGGAGGCGCACGGGAAGGGTAGTTGGCGCATAAGTATATCCAAAGTTTCATCCTCATCAGCATCAGCAGCTGCAGCTACGATAAATGTTATCGTCACGGTCATCGTGATCATCATCATCCTTATCATCATCTCTTTCTTATTCTCTTATCCTTATCATCATTATCATCATGGTTGTCGTCATCTCTTATCAGGCAGCATTGGTGATGCAGAGGATGCTGCGAGGATCGTTATCAGCACAGCCGTTAGTGATGCTAAGGATGCTACGATGATAGTTATCACCCTTGTCATCATCTTTATCATCATCTGACCATCACCTAGCATCATCTCATATCTTACTATATATAGAAACCAAAAGGGACGTTAGACATCCTTGGCAACGCAAAGGATGCGATGATGATAGTTATCAAGGAACAAGTACTGATGCAGAGGATGTTGTGATGATAGTTGTCATGACGCGGATGATAACGATCCTCACGCCCCCATTCTCATCATGGTCGTCGTCATCTCTCATTAGGCAGCATTGGTGATGCAAAGGATGCTGCGATGATCGTTATCACCACAGCCGTTAGTGATGCTAAGGATGCTACGATGATAGTTATCATCCTTGTCATGATATAAGATAATGCTAGGTGATGATCAGATGATGATAAAGATGATGACAAGGATGATAACTATCATCGTAGCATCCTTAGCATCACTAACGGCTGTGGTGATAACGGTCATCGCAGCATCATGGGGGTCATCATCATCATCAGCATCATCACGGTGCTTATCATCATCATCTTCTTCGTCATCGTCCTTATCTTTTTTATATACGTTTCAAGTGTCCCGTTAGACCCGATTTGAGATGGAGAAGATGCGCGGACATGATTATCATGATGACTGCTGGTGATGCTGAGGATGCGTCATGATGATTATCATGTCAGTTCATCATCATCATCATCATCACGGTGCTCATCATCATCAGCTTCTTCGTCATCGTCATTATCTTTTTTTATATACGTTTCAAGTGTCCCGTTAGACCCGATTTGAGATGCAGAAGATGCGCGGACATGGTTATCATGATGACTGCTGGTGATGCTGAGGATGCGTCGTGATGACTATCATGTCAGTTCATCATCATCATCATCAGCATCATCATCACGGTGCTCATCATCATCATCTTCTTCGTCATCGTCCTTATCTTTGTTATATACGTTTCAAGTGTCCCGTTAGACCCGATTTGAGATGCAGAAGATGCGTGGACATGATTATCATGATGACTGCTGGTGATGCTGAGGATGCGTCATGATGATTATCATGTCAGTTCATCATCATCATCATCATCAGCATCATCACGGTGCTTATCATCATCATCTTCTTCGTCATTGTCCTTATCTTTTTTTAATATACGTTTCAAGTGTCCCGTTAGACCCGATTTGAGATGCAGAAGATGCGGGACATGATTATCATGATGACTGCTGGTGATGCTGAGGATGCGTCATGATAATCATGTCAGTTGGTGTTCGTCATCATCATCTTCTTCGTCATCGTCCTTATCTTTTTTTATATACGTTTCAAGTGTCCCGTTAGACCCGATTTGAGATGCAGAAGATGCGTGGACATGATTATCATGATGACTGCTGGTGATGCTGAGGATGCGTCATAATGATTATCATGTCAGTTCATCATCATCATCATCATCAGCGTCATGATGAATATCATGTCAGTTGGTGTTCATCATCATCTTCTTCGTCATCGTCCTTATCTTTTTTTATATACGTTTCAATTGTCCCGTTAGACCCGATTTGAGATGCAGAAGATGCGTGGACATGATTATCATGATGACTGCTGGTGATGCTGAGGATGCGTCATGATGAGTATCATGTCAGTTCATCATCATCATCATCATCAGCATCATCATCACGGTGCTCATCATCATCATCTTCTTCGTCATCGTCCTTATCTTTTTTTATATACGTTTCAAGTGTCCCGTTAGACCCGATTTGAGATGCAGAAGATGCGCGGGCATGATTAACATGATGACTGCTGGTGATGCAGAGGATGCGTCATGATGATTATCATGGCAGTTCATCATCATCATAATCAGCATCATCATCTCTGTGCTCATCATCATCATCTTCTTCGTCATCGTCCTTATCTTTTTGTATATACGTTTCAAGTGTCCCGTTAGACCCGATTTGAGATGCAGAAGATGCGTGGACATGATTATCATGATG